GACACCTCTCTGGTGCCGCTGGAGGATGGGCCATGCTCACCCAGTCTGGGGTTACCATGTGTCCCTGCAGCTCCAGGCTCTCCCACTCACCGCTGGATGTGTGTTAGAGACCCAGGCTGCTGGACATTGGCAGTAATACCCAGAGCCAAGGTCCAGATCCTGTTGTTCATCCAAACCTAACGGTACCCGTTAAGGCACTCATAGATGGGTTAGAAACATCCTGATAACGCGCCAGTCCATTATAGTGACTTCGTCCCCCACCTCTATTAACTCTAACAATAAGAAGAGAGACTTTAAGCAGCAGGACAAGCTTGAACAAATCTATTTTGTGTCCCGGAAAGAACTGTGTTTTCACTTCTGACGAGCTTCTGGACCTACCTCAGCATCACACTGCAGAGATCCAACACCAGGTGCTCGCTCACTCTGCTTTGGATTCAGCCCTTTTCAGGGACCTCTGGCAATAGTTACACCGGCTTAGGACATGCCTCAAAGTATTTGCATTTGTCCATTGTGACAAACAGATGCTTTAAAACACACATTCAATACAAAACATAAAACTTTAGCTCTTTTAGCATTACTAGAAAAATTTTGGTCCATATTTCAATACTATGTAAGTGGGGGGAAAACATATTATTCAGTTTCTCAGCTGTCATATTTCTTCTCTCAGTAAAAACTCAGATCAATGCAGCCAAATGCTTAGATTTAAAAATACCGAGTACGTTAAACTGGAGAGCTCACCTTTCAGATTCAGAACCCTCTCAAACTTAGGAGATGGCATACCACTATGGGTATATGGCCTTTTGGGGAACACAGTACAACTCTGTCTTCACATGCTTTGGTGGTGACAAACAAGGTGTCTCCCTGGCTGTGTTAGCCAAGTAATGTAATTTTCTTTCTTTCCAGGGTGTGGAATCACCTGCCTGAGACAATCCAGGCTTGCAAACAGAACAAGTTCCTGGCCTAGAACTGACTGAGCAGAAAGATCATACAACATCCCCATGCACCAGGGCTTTGGGCTTTTTACATGATAAAGAGCTTCTCATTGCAGTGGCAGTACTTAGAGCTAAAGTAAGGATTGGAAGAGATTTGTTCAGCCACTGATTCCACTTCCAGGCAGTTTTTTTTATCACCTTTTTCATAAGCTTACCAAGGTCCAGGAATTTTGACCAGCTGTACCCCAGGCCCATGCTCATTAATGACACTGTCTTTTTGAATGGATTCTCCATTACTCTGGACAGCCTAAAGTATAGGAAGGCTTTCCAACATTAGAGGCAAGACATTGAATGATTTTGAGAACAGCTCTGTACGTCTTCAGGTATTCTTGAGAGAGCAAAAGATTGCTCTAAAACTACACTGGATGGCAGGATGGTTTTAAGAGATGAATCAGCTCTAACAAGCATTAAGAGTGTCAGACCCTGAAAAATAAACATATATTTACTGAGACTAACCAAAAAATCCAGTAGCCACAAGTGGAAATGGGAATGAAAGTTAAAAGACCACTGCGGCCAAGCTCCACATGAACTCTCTATTTTAGAAAAACCCAACCAAGCTGTGTTTAACTTTCACAGATATGCTGGTTCTAGGGGAAATGCAAGCTCATCTTCTAAATGATGAAGACAGACTCATGCCTAGAATGGATTGATGTTATTTGCACTTTAAATGAGCAGCTGAAGATTGGCTAATTTTTAGGCCAGTTATCTGAGTCTGAAGATATTTCACATACTTGTGAAGGGGGGGCGAGAAAGATTCTATCTTTTGTTCTATTCTACCAGCTTTTACACTTCCAAGTTTATTACTGTGACTCACTCAAATGTGTTTCGTCCATGTAGTATCAGCTTGTCTTACCCCATAGCAGCTTTGACAACTTTACTCAAATGTGTTTCGTCCATGTAATATCAACTTGTCTTACCCCATAGCAGCTTTGACAACTTGGAAGACTGCATAGCCCTTTTTGAGTGATAGCTGTGGTATTTAGAAACCTACCCAAACCAAAAAGCATTTTCTTTTTTGTCTCCCCCAATTTATAATCAATCCCACTGATCCCACAAGACAGCTCAGATGCCCAGTCACCTCGAAGTGGTATTGCCCAACATTGTTTCCTCTGAACACTCAGGGGGCAGAGCACATATTTTAAACATCAGCAAATAAAATTGTCATCTATTTTAGCAGTATCATCAGGGTCAAATAAGTTCAAAGGTTAAAATACTTGCGTTGTGAAACAAGATCACTCCAGATGAGTGGAGCCAGCCTCAGACTGCTTTTTAGCCAACAGAAAACTTAACTTTGCAGGGTGGAAAACTGTTATGGGCCTTAAGCAGCACATCAACGCTGATTTGTTAAATCTGGGCTGGGGTGTTGCACCTTCACATACATTTGGTAAAAGCAAGCAAAACCCACAAGAAAAACCCACAAACACAAGGAAAACAACATCCCCTTACAGCTTATCTTTAATTGCACTGGGTACCAATCAACTAGTTTCTCTGTGCAAGAACTAATAGTAGAAGCATGACAGAAGGAGCATTGTCTTATCACAGACGCAAGTTAACATTTATTATTGCCACATCCAAAGTCCAGATTCTGTCCTGCACACTTTGCAAACTCAGCAAACCAGAGCTGAGTGTGTGCATGCCAGCTGACCTCTGACCTCCTGCGTGTTGGGCTTGTTTCACCACACGTCTTCTCCTCTTCGCAAGCACTGCAAGGATGAGGACGCTGCTGGCCTTTCTTTGATCTAATACAAAGAAAATAGCAGCAACTCCCTGAACAGGTGTCAGAACAATCCCGTTTTGCAGCACTACCAAGCCATCAAAAGCATCTGTTCCTCATCAAGGAGCATCAAGAGTACCTTATTGCAGACAGAGCAATGGTTCCGAGTTGTGTTTTGGTGCGAGGCTTGCTGCTTCTGCTTCAAATCTCAAGGTTATATTCCTTAGTGCTTGTCTGTTTTTACCACTGTATTAGTTTAACAAAAACAATTACTTCTACCTGCAAATCTGGTGGTAGATATCCTTAAACCACCATTGCTCTAGCATCACTACTGCCAAAGTGTTACTCATGCAGCCCAGAAGTCTCATGCTCCATACCAGCAAGCCAGCCACATTTCCAGGCAGCCCAACATCCCATGCATTTACATTCACCCAGCTGCTGAACAACCAGCCCCCCAACTCAGTTCAGTCCTTTTCAACACTCTCCCTGCAGTGGCAGTACCCGCAGTTAATGGGTGGGCAGCCAACTTTTGTCTTGCTGCTTCATCACACTCCCCACAAACATCACTACCTTTGTTTCTGCCTCAATGCCTTTGCACAGTCTTACTTCCACAACTCAAATTTTTCAGCTTACTCCAAATAGTGAGACCACTGATGTTACTTTCCTAAGGAAGGTGAAGCTGCAAACAGGAAGAAAGTGTTACTACAGTAAAAATGAAGTACCTAAATAAAGACATGCAAGGTTGAGTTCTCCATCACTTGTACAGACTAGCAAACAGCATTATTTTTAAGTACAAGGCAACATATAAGAGCTTGGCCAAGCCCAAGCCCTCTCTGGGATAAGCACTGGGTACACAACAACATTTTCCTATGCCAGACAGGCATGAGAAAGGAGATCAGCACCGTAATGATTCGTTTCCCCTCACAGGGGAAATGAAAGCCAAAGGAGGACTAGCATATAGAACTTGCTACTCCCAGTCCACTCTTTAGACAGAAACAAATCCCACTGCTTAAGCAGTGAAAAACTCTGAAAACACCTGGTTTTGGCAGAAAGTACGTTAGCAAAGCATGACACGCTCTTGGTACATCAGCTTCCAGCAAACACAAGCAGAAGTGGAAGCATCTGCCAGCATGAGTTACAGTCTGCTACAGATTGGCAGAATCCTCCAAGAATAATCAGCTTCACAAAATACAGCTGTGAAGACAGATCTGGCTGTGGAATTTAGGGCTTGCAAGAAGCCACAATCATCTCTCTTGCTGAACATCTGCTCTTACTCCTCTTTTGCAAGGTGAATGTAATTAACACATTCTCAAATAACTAACAGAGGATATAAGAGGAGGTAAAAAACCAAACACTCATATTACTTACCCAGAACAGGAATGAACAACCTTTTTCCTTATGAGAACAGAGAACAAACTCTTCTTTATCCTAACACATTTTAAAAGGGTGAAGTAGCTCCAAAAGCATTTCCCATTAAAAGCAGCAAAGGAGGAAGTTATAATTTTTGAATCCATGTGAGGTGAGGTTCTTTCCATCTCTTACCAGTGGCATATGAAAACATAGATTAGATGCTACACACAGTAAAGTCTGTGTAACTTAGTACACAACTATTCACAGGGAAGAAGCTTTCACAGGGAAGGCTTTGTGTTCAGCTGCTGAGTATTTGCCTTCTCTCCAGAACTCCGACATTGTTGTTGGGGAATAACATCTCCAAGAAGAGTTTTATGAAAGATGGTGTGACAATTGTTGAGTAAGTCTCTGAAAGCCCAACACAAAAAATATCAAGCACCTTGTTCTTAGCATACACAGCATTAGACCTAGCCTCTTCCCAATAATCTTTGTGGTGCTCCAGCCTTTGTGGGTTGTCATTTACCTACATGAGGAAGGAGAAAAAACAGTAACAGACACCGTCGGATTGTTTTGGACACCAGTCCGCACCGCACGAAACAAACTACCGAGCCCCCTCTAGTGGCACACCGACCAGGGAGGTTGGCTTGTGCCTTACAGAGGCACAACGCAGCCATTGAGGGATGAACTCAGAATCATCTCCAAGGGATGACCATCACAACAGCTAAAGTACCAAATGCACTTTAATGAGTTCCAGATTTTGTTCCCAGACGGAACCGACAGCGTGTCAGTACATTAGGCAGGTACACAAATTCCCCTGAACTACAGGCATGAGGAGAACCGACTACAATACACAAGGTATTTAAAATTACTCTCAGAAACCAGTTTTCCACAGTATTAGAAGTAAGGCATGTTTCAGGTGTGCCAGTGGCTGCTACGTGCAGTCCTCAGATGCCATATTTGCCCTTTAGTTCTTCCACTTTTGCTATGTAAGCTTTCATTGCATCTTCTTTGGACGTTCCTGAAGGACAGAACACAAGCAGTAGTCAGACACCTTTTGCAGACTAAGACACATTTGACATGCAAGTTACAACTCCTTGCTATAGAGCACGCAGCTGCACGCTACCAGAGAAGCTAAGGCGGCCACTTGGCTGTGAATCCAGCATTAAAGTTTTAAACAAAGGTGTTCAACAGTCATAAGAACAGTGTTTCGAAGCACAGTTACACCCGTAAAAAGAGCAACTAACCAGCACATTAGTTCTATTAAGGTCATTCACAGTTATTACAGGAAAGCTGTTCAATCAACTTAGATGGCATTTAGATAGTGCTGGCTCCTTAAACACCAGAAAAATTCCATTTTCATAGATTAGACCACTTGTTTGGCTCCTCATTTAGAGCAGAGAGCCCAGTTGCATCTTCCAGTTAGGAAAGCTTTAGAAGAAACACAACAGCTGGAGGGAGAGCTCAGTCTCTGGGGTACTAGTCTGGGACCTAGGAAACAGATTTAGGTTTCTGCTGCTGCTACAGTTCTCCTTTGTGTGACACCTTGGGCCACTTGGGCATTTTATACCTTAATTCCCTTTCACACAGGCTACATTTTTCAGGATTACTTCTGCCTGGCAGAGGTAATCAGAAGTAAGAGTTTATCATCATGACATTCTGAATGCCTACAACTCTTGTCCTATGGGGACAACTTATTTCTTGCCAAATCACATACGATTTTCTGACTAGTTTGCCTGTGGTTTTCTTTACTTCTTTTTGTTTTTTAAGCAGACACTTACCTTTCAATGCATTCCAGGCATCCCACTTTGCTTTGCCTTTGAAGTCCAGCATACCGGGGCGGTCTGAGCAAGACAGGATAAGCAGCAGAATTAGTTTGTGTGGTCTGGGTGTAGGTTACACCTACTCCTTTCCTGAAAGCTATTTAGCTCTTAACTATGATAAAACACAGTGGTTCATCTTTGCAGTTACTGCTAACCTGTAGTCAGGAAATGACCTCAAGGGAGAATGTTGGAATGCTATTGCTGGCAACAGAGATAGTCTGTCAAGTTCCCTTAAGACAGCAGCATTTGAGCAGAAAGGCACCAAACAGTGTGATTTAGTTGTATAGTACTTTCTGAAGAGACTGCTGTCGTGTGACAGCCATCTGACTAAAGAACATCATCAGCTCTAAAGTAAAGCAGAAATCTCCTAAGATCCATTACACACAGAGACACGAAAGCAAAAGCTAGTAGCATACAGTTTGGAACTCATTATCACCGAGTTAATGGCATGTTTCTAAGACATAGCTCTTCATTTGTTCTGTCATCTAGGGGTATAAGCTCTGAATTCTAACACCTTTCACTGCAACCTACATTGTGGCCAAATAGAGAAGAAATGAATGAGATACGGATGTATATAAGGTTATTTCTCACATAAAGTCCTCTCCTTATTTTACTTCTCTGTCTCCTTAAAGGCAATTCTTAGGATTAACAACTAAATGGAACAGGACAGTAGCCTGTACATTAGCCACAAAAACACCCTTTTACTGCTCACATGGCAATGTGACCTGCAGAACTAGTTGGCAGCTCCACTTCTCTTCAGTGAAAAACCCTATTAGCTCACTCTTACAGAGATTGCTTTTCTAGCCAACTCCTGCTAGCTACCGCTTCACAAGGATGCGGCGACTTACCAGAAGTGTTGGCATATTAGCAGCTCTATAGCACCACTTCACCTTGGCAAACATTACTGATGCTCAAGTCCAGCCACACCAAAAGGATCATATCTTAAAAACAAATCCAGTTCTTTTCTCTCTCAGTGCTGTCCATCTTGGGAAAAAGAGACTGCAAGCGCTCATACTTACCATTTCCTGGTACAGTACAATTCACTGCCAGCTTTGAATTCAACCAACACCCAATAAACTTCACCAGCAACTGGGTCAGGAGGCCACAACTCCAAACAAATGACCTTTCTCCTTTCTAATTCTAGTTACTCAAGTGTTACACAAGGCCAATAAAGACAGACTTCATTCTGAACGTTATTCCTAGGCTGAACTGCAAGTGACAAAAGTGTAGCAACAGAAGTAGGAGAGATTTTGCATGGCATAACTACAGAGGTATTTCTGCTACAGTCCTTCCAAGACGTGATATCTAATTGCAGCTCCTATAAAAGGTTCACCTGCTACACACATTTGCATCGTTTTCTTCTGTTCTGGCTTTCCAATGCTATTTTTAACAGCCAATCCAGTTTAACTAACCACTCTCTCCCCACCACCAAGTACTGCAATTCCACACTTGTACAGTTTGCCTTGCTGTTTAAGCCTGTTTAACTGAGAATTGTTTGTATTAAAGCAGCATCCCCTGACCTAGGCAGCTACTTACTGACAGAGGTCTCCAAACCCCAAAACCAATATTTGCACAAAGCTAACACAAAGGATTCTCAGAACATTACCACACGATTTAGACAACTGCAACCGGGTTAATCTAAAAACCACAAATTGCACAAACCCTTATCACGCCAGTTTATGCCTGCTCGCTTATAAATCCATGCCAAGTCGGTACTGAGTCATTTTCGCTAAACCGCGGGATTGCACAAAGCGAGACATGCAATAGGGAAGAGGTTTTGCCTCCTCAAGCGCCTCCAGCTCAGCCTCAGGCCCCAAACGCATCGCCCCGGCCCACGGGGACCTTGGCACAGAGGCGCAGGGGGCGGCGGGGGGCCAAGCCGGCACCTACC